CTCAGTGAGTTCCTATCTCACAACAGACCTGGTTGAACTCCACTGGTAACGACTTCTCACTAGAACTCCAGAAGTGTCTCCTGAAGTCAGTCACTAGTGAGCAGGTGATTATTATTATCAGAATGGGTTTTTGTGGAGATTTTAGAAATTTCACAAGTTGAAATCATGAGTCAGTTGAAGCTAGACCACCATTGAAAACCTGGAAGCACTGGACGGCCGTTTCGTCCTAGTATGGGACTCCTCAGCAGTGCGCATCCACGACCCCGCACCACCCGGGGCTCGAACCCAGGACCTACTGGCTTCGCGCGCGAGCACTTAACCATTAGACCACTGAGCCGGCAACCAACGGTGTTAATGTCTAACTTCAACCAATCCACGAAGTTGCGCTACCGTACACCATTGTCCTCAGTGAGTTCCTATCTCACAACAGACCTGGTTGAACTCCACTGGTAACGACTTCTCACTAGAACTCCAGAAGTGTCTCCTGAAGTCAGTCACTAGTGAGCAGGTGATTATTATTATCAGAATGGGTTTTTGTGGAGATTTTAGAAATTTCACAAGTTGAAATCATGAGTCAGTTGAAGCTAGACCACCATTGAAAACCTGGAAGCACTGGACGGCCGTTTCGTCCTAGTATGGGACTCCTCAGCAGTGCGCATCCACGACCCCGCACCACCCGGGGCTCGAACCCAGGACCTACTGGCTTCGCGCGCGAGCACTTAACCATTAGACCACTGAGCCGGCAACCAACGGTGTTAATGTCTAACTTCAACCAATCCACGAAGTTGCGCTACCGTACACCATTGTCCTCAGTGAGTTCCTATCTCACAACAGACCTGGTTGAACTCCACTGGTAACGACTTCTCACTAGAACTCCAGAAGTGTCTCCTGAAGTCAGTCACTAGTGAGCAGGTGATTATTATTATCAGAATGGGTTTTTGTGGAGATTTTAGAAATTTCACAAGTTGAAATCATGAGTCAGTTGAAGCTAGACCACCATTGAAAACCTGGAAGCACTGGACGGCCGTTTCGTCCTAGTATGGGACTCCTCAGCAGTGCGCATCCACGACCCCGCACCACCCGGGGCTCGAACCCAGGACCTACTGGCTTCGCGCGCGAGCACTTAACCATTAGACCACTGAGCCGGCAACCAACGGTGTTAATGTCTAACTTCAACCAATCCACGAAGTTGCGCTACCGTACACCATTGTCCTCAGTGAGTTCCTATCTCACAACAGACCTGGTTGAACTCCACTGGTAACGACTTCTCACTAGAACTCCAGAAGTGTCTCCTGAAGTCAGTCACTAGTGAGCAGGTGATTATTATTATCAGAATGGGTTTTTGTGGAGATTTTAGAAATTTCACAAGTTGAAATCATGAGTCAGTTGAAGCTAGACCACCATTGAAAACCTGGAAGCACTGGACGGCCGTTTCGTCCTAGTATGGGACTCCTCAGCAGTGCGCATCCACGACCCCGCACCACCCGGGGCTCGAACCCAGGACCTACTGGCTTCGCGCGCGAGCACTTAACCATTAGACCACTGAGCCGGCAACCAACGGTGTTAATGTCTAACTTCAACCAATCCACGAAGTTGCGCTACCGTACACCATTGTCCTCAGTGAGTTCCTATCTCACAACAGACCTGGTTGAACTCCACTGGTAACGACTTCTCACTAGAACTCCAGAAGTGTCTCCTGAAGTCAGTCACTAGTGAGCAGGTGATTATTATTATCAGAATGGGTTTTTGTGGAGATTTTAGAAATTTCACAAGTTGAAATCATGAGTCAGTTGAAGCTAGACCACCATTGAAAACCTGGAAGCACTGGACGGCCGTTTCGTCCTAGTATGGGACTCCTCAGCAGTGCGCATCCACGACCCCGCACCACCCGGGGCTCGAACCCAGGACCTACTGGCTTCGCGCGCGAGCACTTAACCATTAGACCACTGAGCCGGCAACCAACGGTGTTAATGTCTAACTTCAACCAATCCACGAAGTTGCGCTACCGTACACCATTGTCCTCAGTGAGTTCCTATCTCACAACAGACCTGGTTGAACTCCACTGGTAACGACTTCTCACTAGAACTCCAGAAGTGTCTCCTGAAGTCAGTCACTAGTGAGCAGGTGATTATTATTATCAGAATGGGTTTTTGTGGAGATTTTAGAAATTTCACAAGTTGAAATCATGAGTCAGTTGAAGCTAGACCACCATTGAAAACCTGGAAGCACTGGACGGCCGTTTCGTCCTAGTATGGGACTCCTCAGCAGTGCGCATCCACGACCCCGCACCACCCGGGGCTCGAACCCAGGACCTACTGGCTTCGCGCGCGAGCACTTAACCATTAGACCACTGAGCCGGCAACCAACGGTGTTAATGTCTAACTTCAACCAATCCACGAAGTTGCGCTACCGTACACCATTGTCCTCAGTGAGTTCCTATCTCACAACAGACCTGGTTGAACTCCACTGGTAACGACTTCTCACTAGAACTCCAGAAGTGTCTCCTGAAGTCAGTCACTAGTGAGCAGGTGATTATTATTATCAGAATGGGTTTTTGTGGAGATTTTAGAAATTTCACAAGTTGAAATCATGAGTCAGTTGAAGCTAGACCACCATTGAAAACCTGGAAGCACTGGACGGCCGTTTCGTCCTAGTATGGGACTCCTCAGCAGTGCGCATCCACGACCCCGCACCACCCGGGGCTCGAACCCAGGACCTACTGGCTTCGCGCGCGAGCACTTAACCATTAGACCACTGAGCCGGCAACCAACGGTGTTAATGTCTAACTTCAACCAATCCACGAAGTTGCGCTACCGTACACCATTGTCCTCAGTGAGTTCCTATCTCACAACAGACCTGGTTGAACTCCACTGGTAACGACTTCTCACTAGAACTCCAGAAGTGTCTCCTGAAGTCAGTCACTAGTGAGCAGGTGATTATTATTATCAGAATGGGTTTTTGTGGAGATTTTAGAAATTTCACAAGTTGAAATCATGAGTCAGTTGAAGCTAGACCACCATTGAAAACCTGGAAGCACTGGACGGCCGTTTCGTCCTAGTATGGGACTCCTCAGCAGTGCGCATCCACGACCCCGCACCACCCGGGGCTCGAACCCAGGACCTACTGGCTTCGCGCGCGAGCACTTAACCATTAGACCACTGAGCCGGCAACCAACGGTGTTAATGTCTAACTTCAACCAATCCACGAAGTTGCGCTACCGTACACCATTGTCCTCAGTGAGTTCCTATCTCACAACAGACCTGGTTGAACTCCACTGGTAACGACTTCTCACTAGAACTCCAGAAGTGTCTCCTGAAGTCAGTCACTAGTGAGCAGGTGATTATTATTATCAGAATGGGTTTTTGTGGAGATTTTAGAAATTTCACAAGTTGAAATCATGAGTCAGTTGAAGCTAGACCACCATTGAAAACCTGGAAGCACTGGACGGCCGTTTCGTCCTAGTATGGGACTCCTCAGCAGTGCGCATCCACGACCCCGCACCACCCGGGGCTCGAACCCAGGACCTACTGGCTTCGCGCGCGAGCACTTAACCATTAGACCACTGAGCCGGCAACCAACGGTGTTAATGTCTAACTTCAACCAATCCACGAAGTTGCGCTACCGTACACCATTGTCCTCAGTGAGTTCCTATCTCACAACAGACCTGGTTGAACTCCACTGGTAACGACTTCTCACTAGAACTCCAGAAGTGTCTCCTGAAGTCAGTCACTAGTGAGCAGGTGATTATTATTATCAGAATGGGTTTTTGTGGAGATTTTAGAAATTTCACAAGTTGAAATCATGAGTCAGTTGAAGCTAGACCACCATTGAAAACCTGGAAGCACTGGACGGCCGTTTCGTCCTAGTATGGGACTCCTCAGCAGTGCGCATCCACGACCCCGCACCACCCGGGGCTCGAACCCAGGACCTACTGGCTTCGCGCGCGAGCACTTAACCATTAGACCACTGAGCCGGCATCCAACGGTGTTAATGTCTAACTTCAACCAATCCACGAAGTTGCGCTACCGTACACCATTGTCCTCAGTGAGTTCCTATCTCACAACAGACCTGGTTGAACTCCACTGGTAACGACTTCTCACTAGAACTCCAGAAGTGTCTCCTGAAGTCAGTCACTAGTGAGCAGGTGATTATTATTATCAGAATGGGTTTTTGTGGAGATTTTAGAAATTTCACAAGTTGAAATCATGAGTCAGTTGAAGCTAGACCACCATTGAAAACCTGGAAGCACTGGACGGCCGTTTCGTCCTAGTATGGGACTCCTCAGCAGTGCGCATCCACGACCCCGCACCACCCGGGGCTCGAACCCAGGACCTACTGGCTTCGCGCGCGAGCACTTAACCATTAGACCACTGAGCCGGCATCCAACGGTGTTACTGCCTAACTTCAACCAATCCACGAAGTTGCGCTACCGTACACCATTGTCCTCAGTGAGTTCCTATCTCACAACAGACCTGGTTGAACTCCACTGGTAACGACTTCTCACTAGAACTCCAGAAGTGTCTCCTGAAGTCAGTCACTAGTGAGCAGGTGATTATTATTATCAGAATGGGTTTTTGTGGAGATTTTAGAAATTTCACAAGTTGAAATCATGAGTCAGTTGAAGCTAGACCACCATTGAAAACCTGGAAGCACTGGACGGCCGTTTCGTCCTAGTATGGGACTCCTCAGCAGTGCGCATCCACGACCCCGCACCACCCGGGGCTCGAACCCAGGACCTACTGGCTTCGCGCGCGAGCACTTAACCATTAGACCACTGAGCCGGCAACCAACGGTGTTAATGTCATTTCAATAGTTGAATTCATGAGTCAATTGAAGCTAGACCAGAATGGAAAACCTGGAAGTACTAGGATGACTGTTTCATCCTATTGTGAGATTTCTATGTATTATGTTAACACTTTAGAAAATATGATAGGATACTTGTCTCATAACATAGGGCCTTCGATAGTTCAATGATTCACATCACATATACTGTCAAGACTATGAATTCAAGCGTAAATAAGTAAGCCAATAAGTGACTATGTTGAAAAGAACTTTAGTGCGAAATGGAAAAAAAAACATAATTACAAGCATTTTAAAGATAATAAGCCCGTGAAAAACCTAAATATGAGTTGAAGTTTTAATATATTGATTCAAATTGTTTTCATGCTTATTGGCTGGAGAATTACGAAAGGCATCATCCAGAACACAAAAGTGTTTATTAACAGTTGCATACTCGAAATGCTACGGATGTGTTGGCTAGACACTATCAGCAACTACCTACTATGGCAGAGAACAAACCAGATTTGAGAGGAGGAAGAAATCAGGAAGAAACACTGGAAGTGGATAGAATACACATTGGGGAAAGCAACCAACTGTATCACAACGCAAGTCCTCACATGGAATCCTCAAGTCCAAAGGAAAAGAGGAAAACCAAAGAACATATTACGCCGAGAAATGGAGACATACATGAGAAGAATGAACAAGGATAGGATAGAACGAGAAAGGAAGGCCGAGGACAGAGTGGGTTGGAGAATGCTGGTAGGTGGCCTATGCTCTAGTGGGAGGACAGGCGTAAGGAAGGAAGGTTAAATCAAGGAAGAGCAAAGTGCTCTGATTCATTTCAGTGTTGATCTAGGTTGGAAGTTAGTTACTAGTCTTATGATACTATCAGTTAGTTTTACTGATAAAAAAGTGAACTTTAAATCAATAATCATTATCTGCAATCTGGATTGTCTGTGTATAATTCACAATTGGAAAGTTTGCTGCATATCCGACAACAAAATGTCATCATTAAAAGCTGTACTATGAGGATCACCATTGAATTGAATATATATATATATATATATATATATATATATATATATATATATATATATATATATATATATATATATATATATATATATATATATGATTAATTCAACATCAAACAAGTGGGAAGGTGATATGGAGAGCCAATCAAAAACAGCAAAAGGTCAATCGATGGCAATCAGAACAAGCTCAAAGGTCAAGTACATTTCGTTGGGGTCGGTGGATCGTTTTCTTAACGATAGAGTGGTATATATATGTATGAATGTATATTTTTGCATTTCATTCGGCAGTCCAATGCACTTTCTCACTCAATCTTGTGTTTTCAGTCAAGTAGTCAGTGGAGGGTTAGCGCTTAGTATATCATGCATCAGTATCAGATTTCGGACACCACACGTCACAAGCGAAAGCTTTTTCTATAATGTGTTTATACTATACCTAACTGAAAACTAGAACCCAATCAATTCCGGTTAATGTCTGACCTTAAGCAATCCACGAAATTACGTGACCATCTTCCATTGTACTGAGATTTATACCTGTCTCTACCCGAAACGTATCAGCTTCACTGGTCACAGCTTCTTACTAGAACTCCGAGAATTCCCTCACGAAGCTAGTTACTTGTGAGTAAGGCCATCCAGTGCTTTCAGGTTTTTAATAGTGGTCTAACATCAATCAGTTCATGATCTCAACCAACAATCCACAACCTTATACGGATTATTTTCAATTGAGTTTATATACTACTTATTCAACACATCAGTAGTAAAGTGCTAATTCTTAATCAATCAAAAATTTATATTCATAAATTAATCGAACAAGAGACCAATTTCTTTCATTTTATTCATTGTTCTCTGTTCTCTTTTCAAATGAATTATATTTGTTATTCTTAGTTTCAGTAAATTGTTAGAATTAAAACAAGAAGCTGAACAGAAACAATTACATTTATCACAAATACTTGAAACAGAACAACGAGCTAAATGGCATTATGTTAAACAAATTGAAGAATTAACCGCTGAAATAAAACAATTAAAGTATGAAGTAAGTTGAATTTTACAATTGGATAATACATTTGTACCAGTTAAGTTCTATGGATTAAGTTGAAAATGTATTCATTTAGAATATAAGTATTTTGAATTGGAACAAGAACAGTATTTCTAGCTGTGTTGGATGTAGGTAGTGTCGGTGTAGATCTGTTGCCTGGAGAAAGACTTCTCAATCTTGAGTATGCGGATGACATTGTCTTACTATACGATAATACCCAAGCCATGCAATCCGCACTTAATCAGTTGGCAATCAGTACCCGTAGGTATTGTATGTGCTTTGCACCTTCGAAGTGCAAAGTACTTCTACAAGACTGGCAGGATCCTAATCCTGTACTCACCCTGGTTGGTGAGCAGATAGAAGTGGTCTCGAAGTTCGTGTATTTAGGTAGCTGCATAAGTGCTGGTGGTGGCGTGAGTGATGAGATCAATATACGTATAATGAAAACCAAAGCGGCTTACGCCAATCTGGACTATCTTTGGTAACTTCGTGATGTAAGTCTAGCTGTAAAATGTCGGATCTACAACGCGTTGGTGAGAGTATTTCTGCTCTATGCTTGTGAAATCTGGCCTCTCCGAGTCGAGGATGTTGGACGACTCTCTGTGTTCGATCATCGTTGTATCCGAAGGATTACTTGCATTCGGTGGCACCACCGTGTTAGTAATGCAAAGGTTTGGCAACGTGTGTTCGGACGCAGTGACGATAATTCAATTGCCGACACCATCCTGAAACACAGACTTCTGTGTCTTGGATATGTCCTGAGAATGCCGTCCCAGATAATCGCACGTCGTGCACTATTTGTCGACTCTGGGACTGGTTGGAAAAGGAGAAGAAGTGGTTAGTGTATGACATGATGTCATGGTTTGAAAGAAGGCTGTACAGGACTGGGTTTTGCTGTTCCCTCACGACTCCCTAGCTGGGGTCCGAGAGATGGTGCAACACAGTGGCTAGAGACGTTATCAGATATGGCTCAGAATCAAAGCCAGTGGCGATCTTGCTGTGACTTCCCTTTACATTCTTCATAAAAAGTGGTTGTAACTTCCTTAACTAAAGGAATTCTCCTGGCTGTACCATTCCGTTTCAACCATTATTATTATTAACATTTCACTACAATACACTAATCTGTGGTCGTTATTGTCCTCTCTTTTTTTCTCTTACACGCAGCTTACATTCTTTTTTTCTTCCCATTCTCATTGTTTTGTGTGACCCATATATATCTGGTGCCTTCTTGCACCAATATTTATGTGTTCAAATAAATAAATAAATAAGGATATTAGTATGGTGGTGTATGCTATTTGTATTGATGAGTATAAGTAGTATATGACACTAATCAGAAGTGGGATGCATGGAAGCAGGAGGCTAAGGAAACCGAGTTGAAGAGAGTGGAAAGGGCAAGAGAAAAGAATTGTAAAGTAAGGGAATCATACAGAATATAAAGAACAAATGATGGGAATTTGCAAATGAAGTATTCAATGTATGGTTCTCATATTTTACAAAGATATTCTCTAATCAGGTTGTCCCTACCTGAGTTCTCGTTCACTACATAAGTAATTTAGCATCTCTTACCTTCTATTCCGATGTCATGTGACTAGTCCTAGTCACCAGGATACTGAGGACTTAGGTTTGTTACTACGGGACGCACATCCTTAAATGTCGCGGGGATTGATGAGAGATCGTCTAGCTTTATAGTCGGAAACACTACCACAAAGCTATTCGCGATGTGAATATGAAGATTTCAAGCTGCCTACTTTCAACCATATAAGTTGAATTTTTTTTCTGATTTCGTTGTTCCTCAAGTTTGAACAACTTGATCCAGTTGTAAAGTTATTTACTAAAGTAACTGAATACCTTCCTACTTCCTATAATTTCATAAATGGATAAGAAAGTATATCTTAACTGCTGTTCCGTACTAGAAAGAGACAAATAATCGATGCTTCCTGATTTTCAGTGGTTGTACAACTAAGATCATCTCTTCGTGTAAATTGGATTGATTGAGAAATCTTTGTTAATGTAACCCCCAAAAATGAATGTATATTAATCAGTTTAGTAAATTGTAGAATTTAATTGAATTCGAATATAGTTTTAGATATGAATTGAAACCTTCCAAGGAACATTTGAGAACTATGAAGGACTCTGAACTGATGTCTTATCCTGATGTAGATCTTTTCAACAGCCTGCATTTATGACTATATCATTATAACATACAAATCTTGTAATGACAGCCTTATACCCTTTAAATTATCTTAATTTGAGTTCATCAATCCACACATTTCCAACCCTAGTTAATTCTCTTCTTCGTTTTCACTGTCGATATCCACAACGAAAATCACTTTTTTTTCAAACCACTTGGCTAAGTAATTGTCGTTTACTGGTTGTTAATATTTTGCATACAGACAAGTTAGTCCGTTAAATCAAACCCCATTCTATCGGTCAGTTTTAATCTTCTGATACAAGTTCATTTGATTCTTTACGTTAATAATTCGGTCTAGTGAGCAGCTACCAATAAGCCACATTCTGTCACTACACTTCACCTTTCCCACTATCTTAAAAAATGAACACTCCTCCACAGAACCCGAGAATTCTCCTCCATAGCATAGTGATAAGTTATGACCTGTTTAGAGTAACTCTGTAATGAGTCAGATAATCATCACTATATCATACTGTATTACAAACTGACTGAATATGAAGGTATAAATAATTGAGTTCCACATTAAAGAATTAAAGTCGGTGTTATATTTACTGAGAGATATGAAGGTTCTGAAGCTCAACCACTGATGAGGTTTAAGTTGAACATTGAGATAGATCTTACAAACTTGGGCCAAAAAAGATCCATTTAGTACAACTTGGTCTATCAATGGTTCCCATCTGAAATTATTTCGAGATGAATCCAGCCTAAAATTAAAATTAACCTTCACAAAACCATTTCAAATCAACTATACCAGTCATCTCACTAGTTACTTAATTCAAGATGTGCTAGAAAATCTATTGAGAAGTCATCACTGCTGAAGCTTAGACACATTGAAAATGAAACAGTTATCAACAATGACAACAGACAATCGTCACGCTATATTGCATAATGACTAAAGTTGAAATTTTATTATTGCATCCCATCCTTATGATACTAATGGTAAGGTGTTCGACATAAAATTTGAAG